AAACTGGCCAAGTTTGAAGAGCCATGATCTATTCTGTCTGTCTGTCTGTCTGTCTGACTGTCTGTTTGTCTATCCTATCCTATCCTATCTCTCTCTCTCTCTCTATTCTACCTCTTTATCTATCTATTCTATCTATCTATTCTATCTTTCTCTCCTTCTCCCTCTATCTATCTATTCTACCTCTCTTTCTCTATCTATCTATTCCAGGGGTCTTCCAACTTGACAGTTTTAAGACTTGTGGACTTCAACTCCCAGAATTCCTCCTCCAGTCATGTTAGCTCAGGAATTCTCAGGGTGGAAGTCCACAAAGTCTTCAACTTGCCAAGCTTGAAGACCCTTGTACTGGACTGAGCATACCCAATTCCTGCAACCATTCTTCCTACATTTTAGCCTCTAGTCCTCTAACCATCTCTGTTACTGCTTTCTGCCCTCTTTCCAGAGTCTCAACATCTTTTCTACAATGTGGTGACCAAAACTGGATATAGTATATCAAGTGGAATCTTTCCAAGGCATTATAAAGCAATGCTAACACTTCAAGGGTTCTTGATTCCATCCCTCTATTAATGCAGCCTAGAACTGTGTTGGCTTTTGGAGCAGCTGCAGCACACGGCCGGCTCATATTTAAGGGATTGTCCACTAGGACTCCAAGACCCTTCTCGCAGTTGCTACTCTTGAGCCAGGTACCCAATATTCTGTACCTGGGCATTTGGTTGTCCTTACCTCAAGGTAGAATCATACTTTTCTCACCACTGAATTTCACTTTGTTAGATAAGAGTCCTCATGGATTCCCACAACCAGACACAGAGGGCAGAATTGATCTTCATGCCATTCTCCAGAGTTCGGAGCCACCAGGCCCAACTTTTCTTGGTGTTCCTGGCTGCCTATTTGGCCATTCTGCTGGGCAACTTCATGATCATAATCTTAATTCTCTTGGATTCTTCTCTCCACACCCCCATGTACTTCTTCCTCAGCCAGCTCTCCTGCTTGGATATTTGCGTTTCTTCTGTGGTGGTACCAAAGATCCTGGTGAACTTTCTACGCCAACATCACACCATTTCTTACAACCAATGCCTGGCACAAGTCTTCTTCCTGATCAGCTTTTCAGGATGTGAGCCAACACTGCTGGCCATCATGGCTTATGACCGCTACTCAGCCATCTGCCAACCTTTGCACTATGCCCACCTGATGAGGAGAGAGTTGTGCATCCAGCTATCTCTGGCCAACTGGCTCTGGGGCTTCCTGGACTCAGCCATCCACGTTGTCGTGGCCTCCAGGCTGGAGTTTTGTGGAAACAACAACATACCTCACATCTTTTGTGATGTCCCACCATTACTGAAGATGGCCTGCAGTGATACGTGGGTCAACGAATTGACCAATCACATCACCAGCCTCTTTGTGGGCCTCGGTCCCTTCCTCTTCATCATCCTGTCCTATTTTTTAATTTTCATCTCTATTCTGAAGATTCGTTCTAACACCGGAAGACGCAAAGCCTTCTCCACTTGCGCATCACACATTGTTGTGGTCATGCTCTGCATTGGAAACGGATACTTGAACTACAACCAGCCCAGGGCTGGCTACTCCATAGAGACCGGTGCTCTAATCTCCACATCGTTTTGCATCGTCACCCCCATGCTGAACCCCCTAATCTACAGCCTCCGCAACAAGGAGGTGAAGGGGGCCCTGAGGAAGGTTCTCGGGTGCCGGAAGACAGCATGGTACTGATTTTAGGGGGAAGGGGATGTATCTGAGCCCTAAAAAAGAGAACTTGGACAGAAGTATTTTCTCAAGGCACCAGGAATGTTGTGTCCATGAGAAAAAGCGATGGCCGTTGTTGGAAAAACCTGAGACATTGTACTTTGCATCCTAATGAAAACTCATTTGATACCAGCTTTCTGTGTTCTACATCAGCGGCCCCTGAAGTTTTGGGCACCGGGGACTGATTCCTGTCTAGTCCCTTCTCCCAAATATTGTCATCCAATGGAATCTAGGAAGTGTGCTTTTTCCATGCCCCAAGGCAGGGGTCGCCAACCTTTTGGATCTCAGGGATGACCAAACTCATCATTTTAAATCCCACAGACCAGAGATCCCCCCAAAAGTCTGCAGGAAAATCCCCCCAAAAGTCTGCAGGTAACTCCCCCACCCCATTTTCTTACCGATCAATCGTTCTTTTTTTGGGCTTGCAGGATACCATCTCCAGCTCCGTTCTTAGGGGAGAGAGAGAGACTTTTGGCTTCATGCAAGGAAAGCAGCAGAAGCTGCAGAAGTCTTTCTTTCTCACCCCCAAACTCTGCCAGAAATGAGTCTTCGCAGCCTCTTGGAGCAGGAGGCCTTGCAGGGTCCCAAAGATTCATTTCTTGCGGAGTTTGGGGGAGAGAAAGAAAGACTTTGGCTGCTTTCCTTGCGTGTAGCCAAAAGCAGAAGAAGAAAGAAATGGAAAGAAGCAGCCGGTGGCCAGGCCAGCCGCGTGGGGCAAGTGGGGCAAGATCCCCTCTCCACCCTTTCCCCCCTCCCCTCACTACTTCATGTTGTTTGTAATGCAAGCGACGCAAGCCTTGTGTTCCCGCGGGCCATGTGGGTGGCTCAGCCTGGATTAATTGCTTTGGGTGGTGCTTTGGAGGTGACATTTCTTGGCAGACCACCAAGATTTTCTTGTGGATCACCAGTGGTCCCCATCCCACTGGTTGTTGACCCCTGCCCTATGGAACGCTCTTCCCTCTGACTCTCAACAGGTTTTTACCCCCTCAGACTTCCCTTAACTTTGGAGACCTTTTTCCTTCAAGAGCTGAGATAGAGTTGGATAATTGAACATCAGCCGGTTGACTTGGTTGTTTTCAATGTTTTAATGTGTTCTGCTTTCTAGTTTTGATATGGTTTTAGACAGTGGTGGGATGCGGCTGGTTCAGACCGGTTCTAGCTCCAGTGATCCGCTGGCCCTGCCCACTCAGCTCTGCCCTATCCTCTCCTATATTTCCATGTTTTCCAGCTCAGCTGATTCGCGGGGCACAGCGGATTCCTGCACCTCAGCTGTTCTACTTACCAGGGCTGCCCGAGAATGCACTACTCTATTGTTACATCCTCTAACCCTCCATTCCCATAATCTTAATCTATCCACTATTGACTTCACCCCATTCCTGAGAGGTCCGAAAGGGGCCGGCATAACGGCACAATCATGCCTATCAGCCCTGTCCTATTGTCCCCTTCTATTCTGAGGTATTTCCTGTATTCTTACTTACATTTATACTGATACCTATTGTCTTGTAAGCGATTAACAAATCAGATAAATTAATAAATAAAATAAATGAACCCTCCACCTCTGAGTCTGGTTGTTTGTAACTGACATAGCTGTGTTCCAAAACAACAGAGAACACAGAGCATAAAACAAACTTAAGTGATAAAATAGCAAGGCAGGAAAATCAAGACAGGAACAGCAGTGCTGAAATAGACATTAACGCCGTATGTGTGGTTTCCTCAATACTCCGCTAAAAATGATGCAAAATGTGACAATCCACGAGGAAGACCAGGGTTCGAGAAATTGTCTTTGTGAGTCATGAACAAATCTTCACACTAATTAAATGGATTTAGTGTCTCCTACAAATACCACACCCCTTTCATTCCTCTTTATTCCCCCTGGAAGGTGCCATTCCCTGTTCACCTGAGCCTTTATTCCCGAGTCGACCCTTGTTCCTTAGCTGTTCCCTTCTCCTGGCAGCTCTGTGCATATGCACATTGGGGACAGGCTCCAGCTGCTCTTCTGCCCCACTGATCTCCAACTCTGAAGGCAGCTGATGACTGTCGGACGGCCCTGGTCCCCCTCTCTGCCTCCGACACAGAGCCTTCTTCGGAGCTTTCCCCAGACTCCAGGACGGGCCCATCTTCCTCCCCGACCTCCTCACTGTCCGAATCAGCTGCCAGGCCTGGCGGGCCACAACATCCTGTCTTGAATTCTGACTTCTTATTAGATTCAGTATGTAACACAATCTCTACCCAAGCAATATATCTGTGGGAAACTAGCAAGAAGAGCTTGGGGGTGGAATGATGCTCCTCACCAGCTTAAAGTCATTATGTTGCGCCAAAATGTCAAAGTACCCCACCCCCCACTTGAATGCAATTGACCCTCAACTGGCACCAATTTGGTGTTGAACATTAGTTGTCTAGATTCTTATGTATAGGGTTGAATATTAAACGTTTGAAATGTAACACAACACATGATCTTGATCCATTGCACTTGATATTAATCTAGATTGCTAAATTGTGCAGGGTAACAATCCGTGGAATTCACGGCAGTTGGACTGGCACCGTTTGTGGCAACCTAATGACTCTGAGCTGATGACATGTTTCACCTCACCCCTCGTTCTGCCTGCTCTTCTCCTTCAGTCTATGGTTTTATCCTTGGATCAAGACCACGGTCACTGCAAGGGCAGGAACTTCAAAGCAATAAATCCTTTCATTCAATGGTAACTTCAGGCACTCAGTGAATAAATCGTTGTAATAAGAGGACTATAGTCTCCAAGGAGAGGGAGGGAGTTTTTTTTTTTAAAAAAAAGCCTTGCTTTTTGTCTCTTTAAATGCGTTGGAAGTCAGCTCTAGAGCACCAGCTAAAAGCAAATGAGACAACTGATTTCAGGTTCAAATCTGGAAAAGATTCTTTTGCTTTGCCCTCTCCATTTCTCCCCTGAATGTGATACAAGAAAACTATCCTGGGCCTGCTAATAAATCCCAGAGAAACCAGTTTGGCCCCACAGGGTTCCTGCTGCCTGCCCACCCAGCTCTATTCCCCGCAGGACCCCAGGCAGGAGGACGGCCAGGTCCTCCTGCAAGGCACAATTTCCCCCATGAGGACCACCTGCCCCGGATAATGCAAGCAACTAGGAGGGTTGCTCTGTCCTAAGGAGGAACATCCAAACTCCTCCCTTCCTGCTTTCTGGGCAGAGCCTGGACTCTCAGTTCGCTGCACCTGAGCCCAACGCCGGGAGAACCTGGAGAGAGGATGGTTCTGCTTCATCCACCGCCGGTCCACTGCAGGTGGGGTAACCAGCCAAGGTGAGCTGCTTTGCGGTCCCTGAAAGATTCCCCTTCCATTTGGGATAGGGTGGCTTTGTAAGGAGGTTTGGGGCTTTATGAAGGAGGGGTCAGGAATGGAAGAGCCAACCCTGGAATCTCCATTTACGGAGGTGGCCAAGTCCTTCTGCTTGAGACTCACAATCGACCACAATTTGTAATCAACACCAATCCAGCATCTGCTGCTCCAAACATGGACTTTGATTTGACCAAACAGCTCCTTGGTTGAAAGTGAGGAGCTGGAAACTGACAGGTAGACCTTCCAGTTTCCTTTTTGATGAGCAGACAAGGAACTATGGAGGGGTTCCAGATCTGAGATAGTCAACCCACATCATCTGCATGCAACCTAAGCCAACTAATTATTATCTATTGATATTAGCCACTGTAGCAAGGTGGAATTTCAGTGTTCAGAGGTAACCTCTATCCACACAATCTGAAGAGGAAGGAGTTGCTTTTGAGTTTGGAAGCGGTGCCTTCCAAGGGCGCCATTACCCCAAGGTGTCCGTCTACATGGAAAGCAAGGTCTCCTGAAGCATTTCTACAAAGCAAAGCTCCACATTGTCTTTCTGATTGTGAAGTCTCTTTGTCCCTTTCCCACATATGAATATAGTTTTCTGGACTCCAGCAAGAAAGGAGAGAGGAGTTATATTACTAGATCTGTTCCTAGCGAAGTCACTTTTTTGATGGTCTCTGCAAATATCACCTCTTGACAGGGTTCAGAATTTAAATAGACCTTCATTTAGAGGAGGGGGACAAGTATCTACAGGTCTGTCAAGAACAAGAGACGGCAGCTCAGTTCTGCATTAAAGCTAAGAGGAATACAAGCATTTTGGAGGAGAAGATTCAAAGGACATTCAAAGGCAGAATTGGGGCTGGGTTGAATGCTGAATTAGTGAGAGACTTGAAGATCCTTACTGAAGG